GAGGGAGGGAGGGAAGAAAGAAGGAAGGAAGGAAGGAAGATGAACAGATAAATATATAAATAGATGGATTGAAGGTAGGAAGGAAGGAAGGAAAGCAGGAAAGAAGATGAGTAGATAAATAGATGGAAGGGAGAGAGGGAGGGAGGGAGGGAGGGAGGAAGGAAGGAAGGAAGGAAGGAAGGAAGGAAGGAAGATTAGATAAATAGATGGACCGAAGGGAGGGAGGAAGGAAGAAAAGATGTGTAGATAAATAGATGGAAGGGAAGAAGGAAGGGATGAAGGGAGTAAGGAAGATGAGTAGATAAATAGATGAATCAAAGGGAAGGAAGAAGGAAGGAAGATGAATAGATAAATAGATGGATCGAAGGGAGGAAGGGAGGAAGAAAAGATGAGTAGATAAATAGAGGGAAGGGAAGAAGGAAGGAAGGAAGGAAGGAAGGAAGGAAGGAAGGAAGGAAGGAAGGATAACAGAATAACAGAGTTGGAAGGACCCTTGGAGGTCTTCTAGTCCAACCCCTTGCTCAAGCAGGAAACCCCATACTATTTCAGCCAAATGGCTGTCCAGTCTCTTCTTGAAAGCCTCCAGCGATGGAGCCCCCACAACTTCTGGCGGCGACCCATTCGACCGATTAATTGTCCTCCCGTCAGGAAGTTTCTCCTTAATTCCAAGTTTGCTTCTCCTTCCCGGATTAGATCCAAGGAGGAGGAGGAGGAGGAAGACCGAGAGGTGCCCCCATCCTGACATCTCCACTCACCTGAAAGCCGGAATGGCCTTGGCAAACTGGATGACCTGCTGGATCATGAAGGTGCTGAGGTCGGCAAACAAGGGCAGGGTGGAGAAGACGTCAGGTAGGACCTCTTCCGCGTTGTCCTCGTGGGAGGGCAGAAGACAGAGGGAAGGGAAGGAAGCCTCCTGAGAAGCTCCGGTGTCCGAATTGTGGTGGCAGAGACGGACCGCTGGCTGCAGAGAGAAGCTGGTTGAGATGCCTTCACTGATGACATTGTGGTCGGCACCTTCTCCCAGAAGTGGGACAACCCCATCCCGCCTTACAGGGAGCCCTCGATCCTCGATATGGATATTTTATTTTGATTATTTATTTTATTTTATTTTTTTGCTAGCTGGATACGAAAGTATGTGGTGGGGCTTAGTTTTGGGGGGTGAAAATAAGGAGGAAAAAAAAATCTGCCCACCAACATCCATCATATTCATCTGGCTAACGTCCTGTCAGTGTGTGAGAGAGTGGAGGGCTGCTTGGAAACTGAAAGAGTATTTGCTGTGTGAGCAAGAAGGAGACAGCCAGGAGCCTGGGCGTGGCTTAGCTCAACTGTTCTGGACTAAAGCTGCTTGGTGCTGGGAAACTGAAACTCCTCTGCTTGTGTTTTGCATTTGGAAGAGATTTCTTTTCAGGTGGGGAGTGAGAGAGTTGAGGGCTGTTTGGAAACTGAAAGAGTGTTTGCTGTGTGAACAAGGAGACAGCAAGGAGCCTGGGCATGGCTTAGCTCAACTGTTCTGTATTAAAGCTGCTTGGTGTTGTGAAACCGAAACTGAAACTCCTCTGCTTGTGTTTTGCATTTGGAAGAGATTTCTTTTCAGGTGGGAAGGGGGAGTAGAACTCCTTAGCATCACAGCGTGTTAATAATAATAATAATAATAATAATAATAATAATAATAATAATAATAATGGAAATACTTTAAATGCTCTGAGGGTCATTTGGAAAAATCCTTTCTTATTGAGCACCTAGAAGCCAAGAGGAACATACGTGCCAAATTTCAAATTTGTAGGCTTTACGGTTCTGGAGATTTTGTGTGGATGCGTGAGGGGCTTTTATATAGAGAGATTATGATGTCTTCTTTTGACAGGGTCCAATCTGAGGTTTAGTCTTGTGCTTTTCATGTTGATATTTTTTTATTTGATTTCATATCTTATGTCTTTTGCATCCAGCCAAGTCAATGGGGAATTCACTTACCAACCGTGAGGCTAACTTAAAGCTACGGCGATTCGCTTAACAACAGTGGCCAGAAAGATTGTAACACAGGGCCAACATCAGTCAGGAATAGAAATTTGGAGGTTCCGTTGTGGTCGGAAGTCGAGGATTATTGGTATCAGTGGGCCCGACATGGGTTTCAACACCCAGATCTATGACTCTCTTCAAAGCCAAAGAGAGGCTGTCATGTCCCGGTCGGCTCCGTTGGCTGTGGAGGAAACTGGGGAAGGGCAAAGTCCGGTTGGGCAGAGCAGGGTAGAGGTAGAACAAGGGAGAGGGGATTCAGAGGAAGACCCAGGCCCACCCCCTCTTCATCCTAGGGCACGCAGGGAGGAACGGAGAAGGCAGCAACGTGGGTTGCATGGCTTACGGGGGAGGAAAGGGCCCCGATTCCCTCACCTGAGGAGAGAGTTTACGCAGTTAGGAGGGTATTTGTCAGGAACAAACACTGAATTCATCTAGTGTTGCGAGTTTTAGCCTGCATTCCTGGCCTTCCTCCTGTGTTGTGTGAATTATTGCCGTGCTTCCGTGTGCTTATCTTGCCTTACTGGAATGAGCGGACTCATCATTACCTTGCCCCGTTGGAGTGATTGACTGCAGTCATTCTGCTTACAGGATCTGCAGCCAGAGGCTGTTGCAGGTTCGTGGGAGAGTTTTTCTCTTCAAGCCGGAGAGTAACTGGGACGTTGGGGGGCAAAGTTGGAGCAAATGAAGGGACTCGTACCTATTCTCTGGCTGCGTTGCCTTTGTGCCACGTCCCGATCATCACAGAGGCTGACCCAGGTTAAGAGAGTTGTGCGAAGGGAACCCCGGGAGACCAGCTTAGAAGAGAGACGGGCTTTGCGGGGGGAGGGGGGTTGGAATAGGGGAGGCCAATCCTTCTTAATAGCTCACTTGGTAGTGGGTGAACTGGGAGAAAGTGGAATCGAAGTGCTTCTTGTGGGCTTCGGTGAGGATCTCGATCAGCTCCTCCTGCTCGGCAGACAAGCCATGATCCTCTGGCGGTATGGCTGGCAGAATCGGCTGGAGGCCCTTCTGCATCTTCTGTTTACGCAGCGCTCGGCGGGCGTAGAGGGCCTCTTCCGACATGATCACTGGCGGAGGGGGGGAAAAAGACGATCAGGGTTCAAAGGCTGGTTGGCGGGCCGTCCTCAATGCCGTTTGTTTAGTGATGGTTGGTTCAGATTGATTGAAAAAAGTGGCTTACTGTCGGTCCTTGTCTTTCCTTCCTTCCTTCCTTCCTTCCTTCCTTCCTTCCTTCCTTCCTTC